GTGTAGGGATGCTCCAGAAGTGTTTTATAAAAGACAAGCTAAACGACAGCGATCTTACAATGAATCGGATGGACTTAATTGAAATTTGGTGGTACAAACTTCTTTTATTTGTCAAAACACTAAGAATAATTTTTTTTTTATTAATTTTGTACTTAAAATATTCTAAAAGAAACATAACAATATTGTTTTATGTACTTTCACTTTTCACGTATAGTATAACTACTCTTTAAGATTAAGTACTGGGTATCTCAAAAACCAGAGCTAATAAAAATTTTTCATTGTTATTTTTGTTTTTATCACCCCAAAATTAGTAGAAATTGACTAATTTAGTGTAGGAAACATTGAAAAAATATTTTTTTGTTGTGTTGTGAACAGTTATATTCTGATTATTGTAAGAATTGAGGTGTAGGAAGTGTAGTAAGTTTTATTGGTGAAGTCGAACAAAAACAATATACAATCTCTTCAAAATGGAAGAAATGATTCATTACGAATCCATTTCTTATTTTGTCACACCTAATGATGACTGTCTTGAGTAGACTCACTTTTTGATGCCTCTTTTTTCCATTGCTGTTGAAGCAGTTTTCATTGCTTCCGTGAGTTTCTATTATTTTTTGTCAAAACACAAGCGGATAAATCGTCAAGGCGCTCTAAAAACGGTGCTTGTGCGAAAGTACGTTCTCAGGAAATTTATTTCACATGAACGCAATTCTTCAATTGGAAGGGTTTTCAAACAGTGAAGTTTGACATGTATGTGCCCAGTCCCTTGCAAAAATCAATAATAAAAGAGTGACAAATCTTTAACCTTTCTTCGATATTTCAGACTGTCAAGGTAGCAAGAGATGTTTATGTCTCCAATCAGGCGAATGGCTTTTTCCTGGATAGAACCCAGCAGCTTCAGGGCATGCTTGGGGGCAGAGCTCTATACATGAGAACAATATCATAAACAACACCTCACGATTTGATCTCCACAAACTCTATTTGAAAAGTATATCACATGTTTCGCTTTTGGGAAGCAGCCTTCGCAATTCCAGCCATATGATTGTGCCAAGACATAGTGGTGTCCATTTCAACACCCAACAAACTTATATGAGCAGGAAGCGGACTTGTCTGTCCTGACATTATTATATCTGGTTCGGAGACACTTATCTTTATGGAGAAAGCCGATGCTTGAGTTTTCGTGGCATTGAATTGAACCTGGTTACTCACATTCCATTTCGAAATCACCTCTGAATCGTTATCTAAATATGCAACATTCTGCTGCCGGGGAAGATGTGCATCCGCAGTCGATGTCTCGGAATCCAAATGGAATCGCGAGTTGAGTCTGATGTCGTCAGCAAAGCAATAATTTGGATTCTTGCTTTTTCCAACGAGTCTTTGATATACGATAAAAAGAGGGTTGGAGATGATATGGATTCCGGGAAACAGCAGCGTTAAAAGTATTCGAGGGATATGCATCGACAAGCCACAGCATCGAAGTTTGGCTAACAATTCTTCATGCTACACACGATCTAAGGCCTCAGAAATATCAAGCGCAATAGCTCTAGACTCTCTTCTTTTCTTGATTGCGTTATTCAAAATATGGGTGACATACGATAGTAAGTCGCCTATTAATAATAAGGGAAAGGTTACTTTTTTTTGTGAATAATTCTCAGAATCCATTTTTGCAATACATTCACCTTTTCCAGATGACAATCAAGTACTCCACCCCAGCCCATTATTCCATATGTCAATTGGGATTGGATTAATGAGTAATATACGGTTTTCAAGTGATGTACATCCAAAAACTGTGTTAAGCATCTGAATCTACCAATAAGACCTCTAATATTTTTTGTAATATAATTAGTATGTTTGTCCCA